AAGAATAGGCGTCAGTAACTTAAAGAAAATCAGAGAAGCATTCTTTTAACCCCTAAGAGCCAAATGGTTGTAGGGAGGAGCAGTAGAGATGGTGAAGCAGTAACATGCAGGCGAGCTCCAAAAATTGAGCTCTTGTTAAAAATCCATTAACACAAGGTGGGCAGATAACCTGAGGTCTGGCTAATACCGTGAAACCCCGTTTCTACTAAAAATACAAAAAAAAAAAAAAAAGTCCATTAACAATGATGGTTTTCTATTTTTTATTGGATTCTTCAAGAAATTCTGCATCACACTAATGTATATAGAACAACACTGTGAGGGAAAAACAGAATATTGATGCATCTAAGTAAAAAAAGTAATTCTGAAGAGACACCTGAAATATTTTCTTTTTTATGTATGTACCAGAAATATACAATTATTTGCCTAATTAGGTATAAAATAGCTCTTTCAATAAGTACAAAAATTAAACCCAGTCTAGATGTTATTCTGTTAAAGCTAAGTTACCATGTCACCATTTCGCTCAAAACCTCTGATGATTTCACATCTCACTCCATTAGAACACGTCTTTACATCTCTCTCTGACTTCACTCCAATTACCTTCCCCATTCTAGCCACAGTGACCTCCTTGCTATTTTTGAATGCTAGGCACACTCCCATCTCAGGGCCTTTGTACTTGCTGTTTCCTCTGTTTGGAATGCTCTTCCCCAAATATCTGCACAGCTCACTCCTCACCACTTTGAAGTCTTAGATCAAATGTTACAGAAGGATCTGACCAACTATACTTACTAAAGTTACAATCTTCTTCCCCAATACTTCCTATCTCCCTTTGCCTTTTGCATTTTCTATGTAACACTAATCACTTTTGAACATAATATTTATTTCTTTTGTTTACTGTCTATCTCTGTCTACTAGATTGAGGATGCTAGTTTCTGTTTTATGTTTTAATTTATCCCTAGGCACCTAGAAAAGTATCTGTATATAACACACAATAAATATTCATCACATAAATGAAATGTTTTCAGTATCTTATCATGGAATAAAACTGACACTCTAGGTATATAGTCATGGTTATTTTGGGGCTTCAGGTACTGTCTGGTTTAAACCTCCTGTAACTAGGGGATAATATATTATGTAAGTCCAAACTGGGACACTCTTGAGTGAAAAGAAGGCACGAATAATAATTATATTGTGACAGTAGTCATTAACTAGATTTGTCTCAGGCAAACAAAGACCCTTTAGCCCATGCTTGGTATTGACATCCTATGCTTAATGGGTACTGAGAGCCCATTTTAGAAGCATGGGCTAATGGCATCATTGTAACATACAGAATGAAGCAAGCCTTCCTTCCGTAGAGTTCACCAGTATGGAGGAGGCATTCAATATACAGTTTACACATCATTCTTTCACTGAACAGATCTTTCTCACTTATTAAAACCTGGCATATAGTAGATACTTAAAAAAATAAAATAAAAGCTTACTGGCCAGGCATGGTGGCTCACACCTGTAATCCCAGTGTTTTGGGAGGCTAAAATGGGAAGATTGCTTGAGGCCAGGAATTTGAGACTAGCCTGGGCAACACAGCAAGATCCTGTCACTATAAAAAATTTTTTAAATTAGCTGGCTGTGGCCGCACACACCTGTAATCCAAACTACTCAGGAGGCTGAGGGGGAAGGATTGCTTGAGAAAAGGAATGAAGGCCGCAGTGAGCAGTAATTGCACCACTGTACTCCAGCCTGGGTGAGAGAGAGAGAGAGACCGACCATGTCTCAAAAAAAAAGAAAAGGAAGGAATCTACAGGATCAACAATAAAAGCTGATTAAAATATATTATAATATGCAATGGACCTTAAATCCAGTTGTAGCATTTACTACATGAGCAATATTCAAGATACATATTAAACAAAAAATGGAAATCAGAAATAAGATCCCATATTCCAGCTCTCTTTTGGAAAAAAAAAACAAACAACACACACACACACAAAAACAAGATAGCAATGTAGTTTCTAAAAAATGTAGCTATGTAAGCGTAGGAAGTCTAAACGAATATACCAAAATGTCAACAGTGGCAGTATTTCAATAACGGGAAAAGATTTTATTTTGGCTTTCTTTCCTTCAAAAATTTCAATAATCACGTTTATCAGAAAAATGTTACAAAAATCTGACAAATTTCTCAAAATAAAGAGACATGCTGTTCATCCATTACACTAGGTATTTTACTTTATATCCTTACATTAAATCATTCGTTCGAATACTTTCAAGCACCTACTATGTGCTGAACACGGCTAAGCTCTGGGAATGCAAAGATATGTAAAAAATCTAATCAAATATATAACTTCATAAGGAGTAAAGCCTTTGAGGTGCAGGCATATACCTGTCTCATGATCTAATCTGATTTACTTTCCCAATTAGATCACAAGACTGTTATGTGCCTGGACCTCATCAACTCTACTCCTTTTTGAAGTTATGCTTATATAACTTTAGTTGTTATTAAGGATCATATTTAAAAAAAGAAACATAAGAGTAATGTGTTAGCATGTTTTATAATTTATCATAGGTATTATTTATAATGTTTAATGTTGTTACATAAACACTACAAAACGTCTGAAATCTGGAATAAAATTCACCCCATTCTTTATTTTCCAGCAGATTTTCAGAATATTAGAACAGTGGCATTCTCCTGAACATGATGCTAGAACCAAGTCAGAGTCATCCATTCAGATACTCTGTTGAAGTCACAACGTATTTCAGAAACCAGAGGAGATCCTGCCGCCAAGGGGCTTACAGGAGAGACAAAATGCAGAGTCCTAAGCAATAGAAAAAGAATACTATAACGACTGTGTTACTGTGCTATGTGTCCAATGACTAGTAAGGGAAAGATGAACTAAAAACAGCTAACTGCTGAAAAAATGTAAAGGAAGAGGAACAGAATCCATGAAACTAGATGCAAGTGGCATTTTAGGATTATTCTAGCACCAGTGTACAAGATGAACTGGAGGATGGAAAAGTGTAAGCAGGCGGTGTAGGTGAGAAACTATTGTAAATCAAGAACAAAATGTAAGGAAATGAATTGACATGCTAAAAATGGGAATGGAAAGAAGACACAATGCCATACCTATTAAAAAGAAATAAAGTTGGTAACAATACGGGGAACAAGTAAAAAGCATCAGCTGAAGATTAAAGTTTCAAGTTTAGGTAACTGGGATAACTGACTTCCATCAAAGCAAAAAGTATGTGATGTCACGTTTTTCTAGGGTGGGGCTATAAAGAACATATGGACAAAAGGTCAAAATAAGTATCTTTTGGACAAGCACAAAATCCACTTAAGACAAAGATGGAAACGATGATCTGGCTACTTTTTCAGGAAAAAAAATACAGTTAACTGGAACTCTTCTATCTCCTCTATTTAACAAACATTTATTATTAATAAATGCCTACTATGTCACAGGTCCTGTGCCAGAGCAGAAATGAAGATACACATGTGAGTGTAAAAGAGCAGGCACTGCTTGACCCTGTCCTCTTCACCCCAAGGTCTGGGTTATGGTTAAACAACATTTCATGCTGTACAGTTGGATATGGTGCTTTATTATTGCTACAAACATTTCACATTTTTTTGGTCAGTGAGTTCTGCTTTTAAATACTTAAGTGATGATCTCCAATGTCAATTTCCAAATTTAAGTTTAACGCAATACGGTGAGTAAAGATAAGAACACAGGTACAGAAGAGAAATTTCATTTGGGCATCAACAAACTTCTGCGTTCTTAGTTACCAATATTGAGACCATAGCAACTCCGTAAAACAGGTTGCATAACAGTCCTCCAAATTGCAATTCAGTCCTAAAATCTAGATCATACGAAGCTCTGTAACACTGTCCTACGGAAATATACAACTCACTTTTAAGATTCAATCCACTTATTTTTTGAGAGCAATTGAAAACACATAACTGTTGCCTGAAAAATCTTTGCAACTGCACATCATTAGAATTAAACACATACCTGAAAGTTTAAAATTCGGCTCGTTTTTTGTTAAAGAGCCGTCAGCCTGAAACAGGTCACGCTGGGGAGAAAAAGCCATAGGCTCATCCATCTGAATCCCCAAAGACGCCTCCATCACAAGACAAAAGGGATGCAAAATGCCGGCTAAGGGATTACATCCACAGGGGAAGCAAAGCAGCTGTGAAAATTAGAACACTGGAGAAGTTTAGATCACTCGCTAAACCACGCACTAAAAACATACCACTGCCCTCAAAGGGGCAAACATTTTTAAACGCACCTTGTGTTCAAACCTCCACAGTAGGGCATACTGTTTCCATTTCTAAGGAATTCCATGTGCTTTACTTTCACCTCCCAGAAACACCGGCAGGGGGCTGCAGGGAGAATTTCCCGGTCGGGGCACCCACGCAGCAGCACGCGCGGTGGGGGCGGCGAGTCCGGCGTAGTTGCGGGACCGCGTGGGGGAGGGGCCGAGCGCCGGAGGCGGTTTGAAGTCAGGAAATGGACTGAGGGAGGAAACCGTTTCGCCACTGACAGGGAGCGCCAGGAGGCTCGTCCAACGCCCCACGCAAGTTGACGGAGAACTGATACGGCCCTGGGCCACGAGTGCCGGGCGGAGTGGGGGGAAGGTGGAATGAATGGGAATCCTCCTGCCAGCCCTGGTCGCGAGCGCCGCCGGGAAGGACCGGCTACCCTCGGGCCCGAGACCTAATAGGATGCTTAGTACGCAGGCGCGCGACTTTCCCGCCGCAGGTCAGAGGGATCCCAAGGGGATCGAGGAACGGAACTGCACGGCGAGAAAACCGAAGTCACTATCCAGAATTCGCTCCTAATCCCTCAGAATCCCGCGACATGGAACAAACCGTCGGAAACTCACAGTTTAAGGGAGTACGACTTCTGTGGCCCCCAGATGCCTGGGTCGCCGTCTCCAAGAGCTCCCCACCTACCGAGTCGATCGGATGCGCCTGCGCAGCACTTCCCGCCGCCGCTCTGGTTGCACATGCGCATACTAAAGCCCTCGACGCCGCCGATTCCGCTACTAGGCGCTTGCGCAAGGGGGTGGAGTTTCTTCCCGCTGCCTTGACCTGCTAGAAGAGCCGTTACCGGAACGGAGCCCGGGGATGATCTGAAAAAACTGGGTGAACTGTAAGGTTAAGGGCCCAACACGGTTTCCAGGAAAGAAGCTAGCTCAGAGACGGAAAAACCTCAGGTGCTAACACATCCCTATGTACCGTGGCCGCACAACACATTGGGCACGCCATGGATAAAAGGCACTTTCTTGACTCTCTGCTTTTACTTCCTTTTCGTTGACTGCCCTACTTCCCCGTTAAAAAACAAGCAAAAAAATGTAATAGCTGATTGTTTGTGACTGTATTAGTAGAAATTAGCACAGTGGCAAGCAGGCAGTGTGTACCATTTACTGAGCCCTTGGCTATGAGGTAGGCGGGTTTCTAGGGGCTGGGATCATAGTGAACAAGACAAACACCATCCCTGTAGGAAACTGAATTCCAGTGAAGCGATGACAATAAACGGATGAATTAATGAACAGTATTCTTTCCGGTATTGATTACTACTTGAAGGAAATAAAATGAAGAGACGTGATACTGACTGGGAAGGTGGTATCTTGATGAGATGGTCAGGGAACGCCTCTCGAAGAGACCTGGATGAGAAAGACCTGGTAGGGAAACTATTGTCCTGGTAAAGAAAGGACAAGGCAAATGCAGAGAGAAAACAGGAGCTTGGTATGTTGCAGGGGGAGGGCAGGGAAGGCCAGTGTGGGGGAAGCCTAGTGAGCGAGTGGGAAGATAGTCCCAGATAGATGAGGTTGGAGAGTTAGGCAGAAGCCAGACCATGTAGGTCCTTGAAAGCCAGGGTAAGAAGTTTGGCTTTTATTCTGAGTACAGTGGGAAGCTATTTGAAACTTTTAAAGCAAGAGAGTGACATGATCTATGTCTTATGAAGAGAATGGATTGTAGAGGGGCAAGAGTGGAAGCAGAGAAAATAGGATGCACTTCATGTTTAGGAGGAAGATAATGGTAGTGTGGACCAGAACAATGGCAGGAGAAATAAATAAGACAGTGAGGTTTGGTGATTGGCTGTGGAAAATGAAGAAAAGGGCATCATCAAAAGTGAATTTTAGGTTTTGGGGCGAGCACATGTGTCGGTGGTAGTGCCGCGTAGAAGGGAAATCTGTGAGGTAATGGTTTTTGATTGAGGTGGAAGAGAGTAAATCAAGAATTCTAGTGTAGATACTGAGAAAGAGAAAAGCATACCATGACATCCAGGAGATGGCCTGGTACCACCAGTTTGGCTTGCTGTTGCTATGAGCTGGCCTGGCAATCACAGCTAGGCATTGGTATTCTTCTATTGAACAGAAACAATTTCACAGAACATCAGACAAGACCACTCTGTGGCCATGATAGATCAAGACAAAAGTAAGATCACTATGTAATCATAACAACACAGACACAACATAAACATTGTCCAAGCTGTAAAAATGATCAAATATCTTTATCCTGGCTAATAGGCATGCCTGCTGCTTCTTTACCAATTACAGTTTTAGCCTCAGTCTAGTCTTCCTTCTACATAATACTTATTAAAATACCCAATTATAGAATTATCTTTGCTTCCTTATAGCTTCCAATCCAGGCCAAAGTCCCTCTTTCTTGAACCCTTCCATAAATCTCCTAACACCCAAATTCTATAACAAGTCCTTTTTAACACCCTCTTCCTGAGACATCTCATTGTTCCCCGTGGTGCATTCTCAGATACTGAGACAAGCAATAAATCCAAGTTGCTGAGCTATAGCTGTGTTTCTGGTGGTCACTGTCTGTAGGTCATTAACAATAATCAAGCCTAAGATACCTATTTGATATGCAAGTGATGATGTCAAATAAACAGATGAATATATTGGTCTGGGGTATAGTTCAGGGTGAAAAAATAAACTTGTCAGCTATGAATTTATAGATGAAACTTAGTCTTGGACTATATGGTATTATCTAAGCAAAGATTGTAGATAGAGAGCTGGGCTATGATGACTTCCAACATTTCAAAGTTGAGCAGAGGAAGAGGAAGAACCAGCAAGAAACTGAGAAGGAGTAGTCTGTGAGGTAAGAAGGCGATGTCATAGAAATCAAGAGCAGAAAGTTTTACAGTTAGAAGAGGGGGCTCAGCTGTAGCAAATGCTTCACAGATGTAGTGAGGATACAGAATTGATCGGAGATAGTCATTAGAGCCTTTAGAAAGAGCAGCTTTGGAGTGAGACAGAAAGACCATTGAAGAATTTATTGAAGAACAAAAGATCTACAAATGGAGACCACTATTGAAGTTTTGTTTGTCTTAGTTTGGTTTCTTGTCTTTATTTGGGGGGAAGGGGACACAAATAAAATGGTGGCTATAGTATCAAATTGTTTATATGCCTTATACTAGCTGTGTAACTTCAGCAAGTTATTCAATATCTTTGACACTCAGTCCCTTTATTTCAAAAATGTAAAATGGACAAAATACTTGCTTGGTTTTGCTATAGTGATTAAATTAGATAAAGTGACATAAGACATGTAAAGTGCTTGGTCCCGTAGGTCTGGACATTGTTAGCTTGTGTTAGTTAATTTATAGTAGGTATTTTTCCCCCCTTTCTCTTTAATCCTATCCCTAATACCTAGCACATGACTGTTCACATAGTATGGATTTAATAAATAGCTATGGAATTAATGTACAACGAGAAGTTAGGTTTTATTCATTTATGTATTTACTTAGTAGAAACAGGGTCTCGCTCTGTTGCCCAGGCTACAATGCAGTGGCATTATCATGAATCACTGCAGCCTCAAACTCCTGGGCTCAAGTGATTCTCCTGCTATAGCCTCCCAAGTAGCAAGGATTACAGATTTATGCCACCATGCTCAGCTAGAAATTAGGTTTTAAATGGTTGGTTGCACTTATGTCTCCTGTAAGCAGATTGGAGGTAGATTGTTGATTAAAAATTATTTAGAGATTTTGATAACTACATACACAAAGTTGTCTTTAGTCTTAGACCAGTGCTGTTACCATTTTTCCTTCCTAACATGTTCATTCTGCCTCCAGGTCTGTTTGAGCTGCATTTGTGTGTGTGTGTGTGTGTGTGTGTTTTTCTTGTTTTTATCTTTTGCTTCTATCTCTTTGTCTTCCAAAGTCAGTGAAATTTTCTTTAAATAGTCTAGCCCAGAATCTGTCCCTTCCCTAACTCATGGCTGGCCCATTATAGACTGGAAAAAGTTACTAACTCAGAGTTAGCAAGAGAAGCCAAGGAACTGTTTGTGCCAGTGAAATTGTGGATCTATGCTGTTGCAAAGGGATCCTGCCCTCCTAAGTGCCCTTCTTTCCTAGAGGGAGCGCATGAGAACTATCTTGTTAGTGGACTTTAAACTGCTTAGGCACCAGGTAATCTGCATTTAGAAGCCAAGTGATTATAAGAGTTGTCTGGGAAAACCAGGTGTCCAGCTACTGGAGACCTTGGGGCCTGTGGAAATTTGAGTTGGGTGCATGCAACTTCTTACTGTGGGAGAAATGGGGAGTCTCTGGTCAGTTGTACAGTCAACTCAGAATAAGTTCCCAGAACAACTTACAATTCTGCTCTTCTCTCCATGAAGGTCCCTACTAAAGGACACACACACACACAGAGAAAGAGAAAGAAAAGAAAAAAAGAAAGAAATGACAAAGGAAAAGTTACTGGAAGTCTCATTCCCCTCCCCACTATTATGTATGTAAACAGCTGACACACTCTCTTAGAGCCTCTTGTCTTTGAGGAATGTATTAGCCTAGGAGAGAAATAAAGCAGGCCAGGCATGGTGGCTCACACCTGTAATCCCAGCACTTTGGGAGGCTGAGGCGGGCAGATCACTTGAGTCCAGGAGTATGAGACCAGCTTGGGCAACATGGTGAAACACTGTCTCTACAAAAAAAAAATACCCAAAAAAAAAAAAAAAAAAAAGGATTAGCTCATGGTGGCACACACCTGTAGTCCCAGCTAATTGGGAGGCTGAGGTGGGAGGATCCCTTGAGCCTTGTGGGTGAAGGCCACAGCGAGCTGTGATGGCACCACTGCACTGTAGCCTGGGTGACAAAGCAAGACTTTGTCTTAAAAAAAAAAAAAAAAGATTAAGCAAAAACAGCTTTTGAAACTGAGCAGAAATTATTTCTTAGGGCAATGTCCTGGTAGATGAAGAAATTCCCAGGTTGTAAAATGAAATTCTAGCCAGTCATTATAAAGTATACCAGGACAAAACACTTAGAATTTAATGGGGAAAATTTTTATTTCAAAAATAAAATTGCAAATTATTTAAAATCAAAAGGCTATGAATCAATTCTGAAACTACAATGAATCAATTCTGAAACTACAATGAAACAGTGAGACAATTAGAAATACACAAAGGTCCATATATTCATCAAAGTTCGATTTCTCAATTAATAATGTAGGACGGAAAACAACTGCCTTACAGGATTGTGACACAAACCAAATAACATTTAAAGCTTCTGGGAGAACTTATGGAAAACACCTAACAGTTGAATTTATTTTTCATTCAAAAATAAACTAGGAGGAAGAGGCTATATGCTGAGTGACTTAATAAATGTTTAGAGATGGAGAGTGACATATTCTCACTTGTAAGTGGGAGCTAAATAATCTGTACACATGGACATAAAGTGTGAAATGATACACACTGAAGAGTCAGGAGAACGGGAGGGTGGGAGGGGTGTGAGGATGACAAATTTCTTAATGGGTACAATATACATTGTATGGGTCCTGGATACACTAAAAGTCCAGACTTTACCACTATGCAATATATCATGTAAAAACACTGCACTTGTACCCCTTAAATTTATACAAATATAAAAAGAGAGAGCAAGAGTGAGAAAGAACTTAAAATAGATGACCTGAAATGGTCTCTTTTGGAAAAGCTTCAATTTTTTTAGTCTTCTCTTCATGAGGCCTTATGCTGCATATAGGACATTTCTATTCTGTGTTTATTTCTCCTTAAGAGATGATGAAAAGCGACTAAGCACCTAGTTTGATTATGAAGTACAAAGGTTACAAGAAAGCAAAAGTAGCAATCCTGGTCTCATCATTGCTGATTGACAAGAATGTTGCTTCTAGCATTACCAAATGTGGTCTCTTTTACAAAGGAAAGCAATTGAAATAATAATAACCAGGTCAGTGATTCTAACAAGTGGATCATAGGAACAAATTAACCAATGAAAATACATCCCTTTCCCTCTGATGTAGCTTTTTTTTGGAGGAGGTGGATTAGTGAGCACTGGGTCCCTGTTGGATGAGGGGTTAGGGAAGGGATAGCCTGAGCTCTAAACATAGAAGGGCTTCCATGCATATCCTACATGTCTGGATGATGGATTGAGACTTGAGTCTGCCATTTTTGGCTTCCCCCAAAGATGATAGCAGCAGTCAAAGTCATGGTCCAAGAACGGTCAGCAACATAGCTCTTGCCTCGAGACACACCTCTTCTTGGAAAAACACCCAAAAGAGTATTCCGCTTTGGGGCCAACAGTGGGAGAGTATGAATAAATAGAATAGATACTTCCTGCACACAAGGTATGGGCTCACAACAAGAGCTAGGCAGCTGGTGACACTACTTTCTTTGTGACCCACTGCTCCTCTAATAAATAGGTCTGTTTGTTTATAGGAACCTGGTGAATTATTGAGAGGGAATTGGGATAAGCCATTCTGCCCTCCACCCCTTTCCTCAGGGTACAGCTGGAATTGAGGTAAGTACATAATATCTAAGTTTAGGCCTATATTGGAATAATGAGGGAAATGGACACTTTTGGCCACTTAATGAGCCAAATGGACACTGAATGAGGTAAAAGAACATAGTACTGTACTGGTGTTGAGGGACATAAATTCTAGCAACCAAACTGGAGGGCTTCCCTCTCATCCAAGCATCCCCAACAAAAATGAGAAAAGTTCGATAGCAGTGCTAAAAGGGAAAACCTCCGTAACTCCTTCTCAATACCATTTGATGTATATTTGAATTATTGACGTAATGATTGTAAGAGAAGGGGATGCATTTAATGCACACTGCCATAGGCATTGAGTTGGGCACTGTAGTGAGATATTTTTATGTATTATCTTATTAATTCTTCATTGGACGTATTTTATAGATCATGAAAATTAGCTTTAGAAAAGACTGGCCAGGCACAGTAGCTCACGCCTGTAATCCCAGCACTTATGGCAGGCTGAGGTGGGTGGATTGTTGAGCCTGGGCAACAGGGTAAAACTTCATCTCTACTAAAAACAGTAAAATTAGCTGGGCGTGGTGGTGTGTGCCTCCAGTCCCAGCTACTTGGGAGGCTGAGTTGAGAGGATCACCTGAGCCTGAGAGGTCAAGTCTGCAGTGAGCCAAGATAAGGCCACTGCACTCCAGCCTGGGAGACAGAGCAACCCTGTCTCAAAAAAAAAAAAAAAAAAAAAAAAGACTAAGTAAATTACTGATGACAACCAGCCAGTAAGTGGCAGAAGTGAAATTGGAATCTCTGAACACAAAGGTCTTCATTTGGATTAGACCTCCACTATTTTTTTCCTTTTTTTATTGTGGTAAAATACACATAACATACAGTTTACCATCTTAACCATCTTTAAGTGTACAATTCAGTGGTGATTTAAGATGATTTAAGATTTTGAAAAATCCCTAGAAGTTTCAAGTTCAGGCCCTTCAGATTGGTGCCTTTTTGCTGGAAAAAAAATATGCTTAAGAACACATTTTTAAAATGATATATCAATACTGTATAAAATTTTTCATATTCTTATGTGTTTTAAAATTACAGAATAAGATTATAATTAGCCAGCTTTTATTTTTGAAAACATAAAGATGTGAATGTCCATTATTTAAGACAAATAGTTGTACAACCATTACCGCCATCCATCTCTAGATCTCTTTCTACCTTGTAAAACTGAAACTCTATACCCATTGAACAATAACTTCATTCCCTAGTTCCCCAGACCCTGGCAACTACCATTCTACTTTTTGTCTCTATGGATTTGACTACTAAGGAACTCAGGCAGACTCATACACATTTGTCATTTTGTGATGGGCGCATTTCACTTAGCATAATATCCTCAAGGTTCATCTGTGTTGCAGCATATGTCAGAATTTCCTTCCTGTTTAAGGTTACATAATATTTCATTGTATTCAGATGCTATGTGTGAATATACAACCTCTGTATCTGTGGGTTTAATATCTGTGGATTCAACCAACTAAAATTGAAAATATTCAGGGGGAAAAATAGATGGTTGCATCTGGACTGAACATATACAGATGTTTTTCCTTACCATGATTCCCTAAACAATACAATATAACAACTATTTACATAGCATTTACATTGCATTAGGTATTATAAGTAATCTAGAGATGATTTAAAATATATGGGAGGATTGAATAGATTATGTGAAAATACTACACCATTTTATATAAGGGACTTGAGCATATGTGGATTTGGGTATTTGTGGGGAGTCTGGTAATCAGTCCCTCATGGACACCAAAGGACGACTGTCACATTTTGCTTATCCATTTGTCTGTCAATAAAGAGTTGGGTTTTTTCCATGTTTTAGCTATGCTAAATAATGCTGCTATAAACATGGGTATACAAATATCTCTTTGAGACCCTTTCAGTTCTTTTGAGTATGTACCTAGCAGTGGAATTGCTAGATCCTATGGTAGTTCTATTTTTTAATTTTGATGAACTACCATACTGTTTTCCACAGCAGCTGCACCATTTTATATTTCTACCAACAGTGCACAGAGTTCTAATTTCCCCACATTTTTGCCAACACCTTTTTTTTTTTTTTAACAGTGGCCATCCTAATGGGTGTGAGGTGGAATCTCACTGTGGTAACAATTTGCATTTCCCTAGGAATTACTGATGTTGAGCATCTTTTCATGTGTTTGTGGCCATTTGTATATCTTCTATGGAGAAAAGTATATTCAAGCCCTTCGCCAATTTTTTGAATTTTTTAAAAATTGTTGAATTTTAGCAGTTCTCATATGCAGGGTATTAATCCCTTATCAGATGTATAACTTGCCAATATTTTCTCCTATTGTGTGGGTTGACTTTTTACTTTGTTTATAGTGTCTTTTTTTTTTTTGAGACGGAGTTTCACTCTTGTTGCCCAGGCTGGAGTGCAATGGCGCGATCTCGGCTCACTGCAACCTCTGCCTCCTGGGTTCAGGCAATTCTCCTGCCTCAGCCTCCTGAGTAGCTGGGATTACAGGCACGAGCCACCATGCCCAGCTGATTTTTTGTATTTTTAGTAGAGACGGGGTTTCACTATGTTGACCAGGATGGTCTCGATCTCTTGACCTCATGATCCACCCGCCTCGGCCTCCCAAAGTGCTGGGATTACAGGCGTGAGCCACCGTGCCCAGCTATAGTGTCTTTTGATGCACAAAGATTTTGTTTTGTTTGTACTCCCAAACAAGCCCAAAAGCTTTACATTTTCATAAAATACAGTTTGTCTATTTTTTCTTTTGTTGTCTGTGCTTTTGGTGTCACATTCAAGAAATTATTGTCAAATCTAATGTTGAGAAACTTTGGCCCTTTATTTTCTTCGAAGAGTTTTATAGTTTTAGCTCTTTGTTTAGATCTTTGATCTATTTCGAGTTAATTTTTGTAGATGGTGTTAGGTAAAGGTCCAACTTTATTCTTTTTCATGTGGATATCCAGTTTTCCAGGAGACCTTAACTATATATTTTTTTAAGCTTTTTAAATTTGGCTAGCAAATAAATTGCTCAGGCTGACTTCAATTTGAAGTTCCATTTTCAAGTACAGGTAACTTCATGCTCCATTATTGAAAAGAAAATACTAATTTTTATCCTATTGTCTTGTAGCATAAAGAGATACAAATCTCTCAGGAGTAGATTAAAAACATTATTTTTTTAAAAAAGGAAGCCAAGCAGTTTAGTGTAATAATTATTTATCTAGTGTTCTTGTATATATATTCATTTATCCTTTTTTTGTGGTACCTGTGTATAGTTGCAACCCAACTTCAAAAACTAAAAACATGAAAAATGGGAAGCTTTGTAAAAAATACCTGCAAATCTACCAAGGGAGAAAAAGTATTTACGGTATGAAATAAATATGTTGCACCTGAAGATAACTGCAGCATACAAAGGAAACAAATAACATATATTTTCCTCCTAAAACATACAGATTTCAAACACTCTGAGGAAAAAAAATCCTGTTATTGTTACTAAAATTCAGAGAGACTCACAGGACCAAATTCATATTTTAAAAATTAAATGGAAACTTATGAAAATTGAGATTTCTGTACATTCCCAGGGCTCCAATATATAGTAAAATACTATTAGGACTGGAAGGTCAAGGAGCAAGTACTGTGATATGTCAAGTTTCACCTCCAGGGACTGAAACTCTGAAATGTGCTGATTATTTCAGTTCAGCTATGAATGGGAAAAATACCCACTATGATGAAATCATAATGGCTTGACTTCCAATTGTTCATTATCTTTAAAGATTATTTAAGATTTTGAAAAATCCCTAGAAATTTCAAGTTCATGCCCTTTGTGTTGGTGCCTTTTTACAGGAAAAGAAATATGCTTAAGAGCACATTTTAAAAATGATATATCAGTACTGTATAAAGCTTTTCATATTCTTGGGCCGGGTGTGGTGGCTCATGCCTGTAATCCAAGCACTTTGGAGGCCAAGGTGGGTGGATCACCTAAGGTCAAGAGTTCAAGACCAGCCTGACCAACATGGTGAAAACCTGTCTTAAAAAAATAATAATAATTATTAAAAAAAAAAAAAGAAAAAAACTTTTCATATTCTTATGTGTTTTAAAATTACAGAATAAGATTGTAATTAGCCTCCTTTTATTTTTTAAAAACATAAAGATGTGAATGTCCATTATTTAAGACAATTTACTAAGATATAATTTAATACAGCAATATTGATTTGGGTTTAGTGCTAGTGGTTTTTTGATTTAGAACGATTATCTTCTCAGTTTTATGTTTTAAATACAAAATTTTATTCCAAAGAAGAATTTCCCTGTTAGGCCATGTATCACTGCCCCTTCTCTAAAATACTAAAATAAATACATATATTTGTTTATTTATTTAATTTTATTTTTTGAGACGGAGTCTTGCTCTGTCACCCAGGCTGGAGTGCAGTGGTGCTATCTCGGCTCACTACAACCTCTGCCTCCCAGGTTAAGTGATTCTCCTGCCTTAGCCTCCTGAGTATCTGGGACTACCATGCCCCTGTGGAACAAATCCAGCCTGATACCTGTTACCCACCATTCCTGGCCCTAAAATAAATTTGAATGGAGGCATAGGTACAATTAACTTTGAAGCTTTAAACACAGTGATAAACAACCTCCCGTAAGTTTGAGATTGGAGCATCACAGGGGCCTGAGAACAATAGACCAAATTTCCTGTGGGACAAATCCAGCCTGCCACCTGTGTTTGTACACACTACAAGCTAAGAATGGATTTTACACTTCTAAGTTACTGAAAAAAATGTGTAAAAGAATATTTGGGACACATGAAAGTTATATAAAAGTCAAATTTTAGTGTTCATAAATAAAATTTTATTGGAACACAGCCATATTCATTTGTTTAATATTGTCTATGGCTGCTTTCACTCTACAATGGCAGAGGTGAGTTGAGTAGCTGTCACAGTGATGTGTGGCCCGCAAAATTGAAAATATTTACTAGCTGGCCCTTTATGGGAAAAGTTTGCCAACTCCTGAGCAT